CTCGTTTCGGAGGACCAGCCAGCTTCGCACTTGTGGCCCCTGGTTGTGTGTGTGTGTGTGTTGTAAAGCTAATTATAATAGTTTCGGACAGGGGTCTGGTGTGACCTTGTCAGTGCCATATGGTTTAGCTAGAAGAGTTCACGCAGCCGGCATGCCTCTTCCCAAGACTTGTTTGCCATCAGACCAATGCTCATTTCGCATCGATGCAGCCCCTTTTGAGGTAAAGTGGCCACGACTCAGCTTCAAGAAGCGAACTGGAACGGTGGACAGCCTGTGGCCCCACATCAAACCAACGTGAGCTAACCTAGAAGCAGTACGAATGATGCGCGTACAGAAAACATAATACAATAGACGAAGAGATATAGATAGATATGATATGTGCAATATGGTAATGTATTGCTTGTCTATGGGGCAGACACTCAATTTTTTTGTTTTCTTTCTCATCTCATGCCCATGGCCGCCGAAGCTGTGGCCTTGGCAGAGAAGCAGGTGGCAGAACTCAAAGTAGCTTTGGCGCAGAACCACAACCAAATACGAAATTGCCAGCAGCAAGCTCGCAGACAAGCGCTCGCCGTGCGCAATGGTGGCCTATCTGTCCAGGCAGTGCGAAAAGTTTTAGCAGTCTATGTGGTCTCCAACTGGGATCTGAGTTTGGCTGTGCTAGCGGCGCAGCGGCTGTCCCGATTGCCGCCATGTTCTGCAGCATTTCCAACGTCAGATTTTGTCAGCGCTCTCTTTCGAGAGCACAACTGGGAGGAGTTGTTGATGTTACATGATGATGCTTCTCCACTGTGGGCGCCAGCACGGAAGTATGCACGCCAGCTCCTCCTGGAACACGATGCTTACCTGTGGGTGAAGCGGCTAAACTTTGCTCATGGCGTGGCACCGTCGGCTTCAAATGTGTTTCATTACTATGAAAAGAAGGCGCTGGTTGCGGAACCATGTGGAGAGCCTCGCAAGAGAACCGTCAACAAATGGGCTGCTCGTTGGCGGGCAAGATGGGGTGTTCGCAGGGCATGCCTGCGGTCAGCTGACACAGTGGAGCCCAACATTTTGCGCGACAAGGCTCGGAAGAGGCAAATTGTCGGGCCCCCTTTTCTGGACCCCTGAATAGTGCAAAAGTAGGGCCTCCATGTCTTGGGCGACCTGTTTTGGGGACGGAACAGGGTCGGCTTTTGTGGCCCTGAGAAGTTGCATGGAATGTATTTTTTCGGAGGCGTTGGAATGCAATTTGTTGGAAACCTCGTGTTGGGAATGCAATGTGTCAGGTCAAGGCATTCTGGAGATCCATTGCCTACGTGACCGCCAAATTTAGCCACCAGGAGCTGGTTTGGATCAACTTTGACGAAACTTCTGTTGCTGTCTGTCCACAATGCCCAAAAGGTTGTATAGTGGATGACTGGCAGGCGCACCCAGTGCCAGGGGGGCCACAGATGTCAGTCCCTAAAAACCGTCGCAGAATCGCCTACACATACGGGGCGTTGCTGTGCAGTCATCCGGCCATTCAGGCCGTTCTACCGCATTTCCTTGTTTGCAGCGAAGCGCGGCTGCCCAAGAGTGTGGCCAGCGGCTTTGCAGCATTACCGCAGACGAAGTTACGGCTTCTTCGTGCAAAGTCATCCTGGGTGACCGCGGACAGCATGATCAGTATTCTGGCAGATGTACGCAAGGCCCTTGCGCCTTGGCTTCCAATGGTGAAACCAATACTTGTTTTGGACACTGCTTCTCCACATTTACCCGAGCCAAAAAACAAGGTTTGCAGCTTCTTTTTGTGCCATCTTGTAGCACTAGCCTGCTGCAGCCACTAGACATCGCTGCCTTCGGCGGTTTTAAGCAATGGGTCAAACGCAAGAACATGGTGCTGCGGCAGACTGCAGTGGATGGGCAGCCTGAGCTGCTCGAGTTTCTCTGGCAATTGAGCCAAGCTCCCCGTGATTTCTTTGGGGGCAAGAAATGGGCACACGCTTTCGAAGGCGTTGGATGTGGGCGAGATGTGACAAAGTTGCATTCCGCTTTGAAAAAGTTTATGCAGCACCCAGAGTCTTTCCCGCATTCGGCAAAACCGAGTCCAGCAGAAATGGCTCTCATTTGGCCTAAAAGGCGAAAGATGAGCTATGCAGGTGCATGTTTGTTCTGAACACGCCAAAGGCGTTCAGATCGAGCACTTGACCTTGTTAAAAACGAGCGGCAAGCAGCCACTGTGACACTGTCAGGGCCCATGGCCTTGAAGCTTCAAAGGTTTCCTTTTTGGGGGCCGGAAAAGCAGTCCATGTATCAGACGGTTGCTGTCTGAGCTTGCAATGGTGTCTGCAGCGCTTTGGCTGCAACAAAAGTAAGAGTTTCGATCGCGCGCTGATTCAGCTAGCTTTTGTTTGTACCATGTCGGATGACGCAGCAGCTGCCGCTCCAGCTGTTCCTGTGCCATCTAGCGCTGTGCGGGCGCCGGGACCAGACCAATTGCCACAATTATGCGCTGCAAGGGCAACGCTGAAGCAGCAGTTGAAAGAATCTACAAAGGCGATTCGCAAAGAGGTTCGCCGCAGATCCCGTCTCATGAAAAAAGCCGCTGGATTATCCATGTCTGATTTGGCTTGGCTCTTGACTCGCCGCGCCACGACTGCAGAGTGAACCAGCGTTGGAGCAGCGAGCAGTACCAAAGGTACCAAAGCATGAGGGGTACAAGTCTCAGACCATTTGCTTGCAGTGCAGGGTGAGCGACGGTCTGAGCAGCGTGTAGCACCTAAGGTGCCACTGCGTGAAGCGTCAAAGTTTCGGACAAGTTGCTTGCAATGTGTTGCGTTCAGTGGGCAACGGTTTCAGCAACATGCAGCGCCAAAGGTGCCAAGCGTGAGGAAAAATGTCGCAGACCACTTGCCCGCACTGATTGTTTCAAATAATTTCAGAGAGGGCAGTCCTATGGAGTCATAAATCATAAAGATCTCCCTCTCATGGCCCCGGTGGATGTTTATCAGCTCGCATCGCACTCTACCAGGTAATCGCGCAAGAATCTGTGCGGTATTCTGGCAGGTAGTGGCATGGCTCATGCTGGCGACCGAGCAGGTGCAGCACATTCAATCGACTTTTGGCTCACAGCCTATAGGCGTAGGCAATTCAAGCCTGCCGTATGCCTGAAATACTGTCAAGGGTTTCTGCAGCAAATCCTAGAGGCACGGAGCAAAATACTGTTAAGACTTTTCCAAATACAGTGAAGAGCTTTTGACACAAATCGCAAAGGCACGGGGCCAAATACTGCTAAGAAACTCGCAAATGTAACAAAATAATAGAATCATCAAATATTTTTCTTTTTGAATTTCCGGGTTCTTAACCTTATTTCATCTCCTGCCATTGGGATTACACCTCGGAAGCCTTACCCTTATGTTGCAAGTCCTTCACCTTATTTGATTTCCTGCCATTGGGATTGTGCCCCGCAAGTCTTACCCTTACATCACCAACCGGGTACCTTGTTTGATCTCCTGACAATGGGAACGACCCCCGAGTTGTACCCTTAGTTGACAGGGCCTTATGCCTTTTTTTGATTTCATTTCAATCATTACAGGGAGATTCCTTGTATTGTCGGATATGGCGGCAGCTTGGCGGCTGCGGCGTTTTGGCGGCTGCCAGTGGATGTGGCGGCTGTGCGGCTGTGGCGGCTGTGCGGCTGTGGCGGCTGTGCGACTGTGGCGGCTGTCGCAGATGTGGCGGCTAGTGGCAGCTGGCAAATGGCATTCATTTTCGGCAGGCATTGCCGTGCGAAACGCGGCGACTTGCTGTAAACGAGACCTTTGAAAAATCAGAGCCGCCAGTCTGTAGAGATTTGCAATGCATTTGGTTGGTCGTGGCAGGGGAGCCTGCTGTTCTTTCGCTTCTGTCTTCTCCTTGCGCTCTTGGTCCCTGTCTTCTGGCGCCTCTCCTCGGTTTTCGTCCGCCTT